CTAGCTGAACTTTCTCCATTCTCATTCTGATCTCTTTCTCAGTGTACATCAAGCATGTTTTAGCTGCTTCAGCTTTAGCCCTGGCTGCAGCAGCAGCACTAGTGGATGATGCTCTGGAGCTTGCAGACACAGAGGCATGAGACCTAGTCTTAAGGTTTGTCTCCATTGTGCAGGTGAGCTATGTTTATTCTCAGCCACTAAAGTAGTTGATGTGTGATGACTGTAAGCACAATCTTCTAACTGCGTTGCTTGTCTGTTAAATGGCGTCTTTTCACTGTACTGTCTTTCTCTCTTACTGACTGAGAGCACTAACAGCAAGTGTCAACATCTTCTTTACATCACGACTCTGAAGACAGTAATGTTGTCCGCAGGTTTAATGACGTTGGAAGTTGTGAAACTACGAATAAAACATACATCTCTAATTAGTTGAGTGTTCTAATCATTGACATTTACATGAATGTAGGAGCCAAACCATAAAGACCATCTTTTGCATTGTGTGTAAATATAAATAGTTAATTAACTTTTTTATGAAGAAGTGCATATGTGTATATACTGCTGCTTAATATAGTATTAGGATGCCAGAAGTGATATTTGTACTGATTATGTAGATACAAATGTCTTCAGGCACCATCTGTTTATGTGCAGAAAATAGGTGCACTGTCACTTTAAGAGCTAAGCTGCTACGGTGCTGGGCAGGACATGTTTTAGGCAGTGGGGAGTGAGCTGCAGAGGATACTGGTAGCAACACAGTTTTCTTACCGTGTTTAGCGTTACGGTTTGTGTTGCATCTTATATTTGGAACAACCTAACCATGGTTTGAAAGTTTTGTTTTAATTTTATTTCATCACGTGTACAGTCTGGAATAAACCACCGTTTTTGTTCATTCGTACACGGAGCCCTGTGGAAGTTTCCTTTTCTTCTCTGAATAACGCAGGCACGAGTAAAGAAGTTGCTTCAGCCACCACAGAACTATGTTCAGCTCACACACATGAATAAACATTATAGTAAGAATATACATACAGACGATGCCACGAAAGACAACAGATGATAGCAGATGCGAACAGATTGTGGAGAAGTCCATCAGCATGTAACTGAACAATGAACACACTTCCTGGTTCCTTTACTTCTCGTGTGATGACACCAGAACCTGTATGCCAAAATCCGCCACTAGGTGGTCAGAAAACGCTACATGTAACAGGCCGTTAGAGCACAGCCTCCAATCCACAGACAGAAAACCTTCAAAAATCTCATCCACTACACAGTTCTTTTAAGTTACTTCCCTCAAGACACCATTTCAAGCTACCTTTTGCCAAAAAGAATATTTTTGGAAAATCATGTATTCTCTCTGCAGTCAGTATGTTCAATCAAGACAGTTTTTTTGTGCGTGTGTACAATGTACCATGTTGTCTGTGTGGCCTCGTTAAAGACAATCTTGTGTCTCATTTTTGTGCCAGACAATAAAGTCTAAAGTCCAAAATATATAACTTATATTTTGGTTTTGACATAAAACCACATTTTTTTCTTACAAAAATTATTCTAAATGTTTCATTCTTTTCGCACATTGTCTGTAATAACAAATATGCTAAAAACAAACTACTTTTGCAGGTTTTGAAGATCTCCTGTTTTCCAGGGAACTGCAGTTATTACATTACTTCCCATGTGCTACTTTTTCCTCTCCTACATTTCATAAATAATTTCTTTAAACACTAATGCAAACTGAGACGTAGGTAAAGAAAGAATGGTTTCTCACCGTTCTCACATTTCTCTGTACAGTGCAGTAGATCCCATGTAAAAGGGGGTCTAAATCATTACATCGGTTTTTAAAATTTCTCAGTTGTACTACAACATAGTCTGAAATTGACTTACCCATACAGGAACCATGCAGTGACACAGACAGAGCAACAGCATAAGTCGTCCCATTATCAGAAGGTTTAATGGAGCTTTCTGCTGACAGCTCCGCATCACTCACCTACTGCTGTGCTACTGGTTGGAACTACTGTACTCAACTGACAGAAGAATGCTGGGTTCTTATTTAGTTTTTGGTTTCACGTTTTAATATTCTCTCTGTCTCTCTCAGTACAGTGTTAACTTTTGAATATATCTTTCACAAAGCCAGAAAGCTTTATAACAGTTTAGAATTAAAAATGCATTCCTGTCTGGCCAATGACAGATGGAAATTATGTCAAGATAATATATCCGGCTATAAAAACGATACTGTAGTATAATCTTTAACATTTGACTGTGAGCAAAACATTTTAACCTGCTGAACAGGAAATAGTTAGGTGTCACTAACAGCGGAACATTTTTAGTGTACAAAGTGCACCTATAGAGATGTATTTAATAAAATGACCAGTGAGTGTAGGTGCAAGGTGGAAAACTTGTATTCATCCATTTTATTTTATTTACAGTACATATTTATTGTATTTATTTGTTCTGTGTATGTAATTCAACTTTTTACTGTATATAATGTACACAGTACAAATTAAAGGAAAAAAAGACAGGTGTACTGTCACGCATTCGGTGAACTCTCCTAAAGAAACGGACTTCATCTCCCAGAATCCTCTGGGAGATCACATGACTCAGCAACTTCCCTCGGACTCCGAGTCCGACTCGGACTCCATTGCCCACAATTCTATGGGAGATCACGTGACTTCTGACACTGGCTTACGTTCCAATCAGCGCTCCAAATCACCTGAATATTAACTGGCCGCACCTGTGTAGTTTACTTTATAAGCCCGGGCTTTAGTCTAATTCAGTGCGAGGTATTGTTTCCTGTTGAACTACCGAGCGTTTGTATACTGACTGCCTTTATCCCGTGTTTGAACCTTTGCTTTGTGTATATCGACTTTGCCTTTTTGTCTTTTCCCTTTTGTGCTTTTGCCTCTACGGACTGATCTGTGTTTTGGAACTTTTTGCCTGTATTTTTGACTTCGTCTTTTGCTCTGCCCTTTTTCGGTTTGTTCGCCTAGTATTATTAAACGCCAGCATCTTTTACTTCCGCGAGCGTCTGGTTTCTGTTGATACGTCACATGTACTGTGTGATATCATACATAGTTAACATCATACCATGATCGGTGTTGTACCTATCACTTCTGTCACAAAGACTGCTCAACTGACCATACATCAGTAAATGGAATCAGGCATTGTTGTTGAAAGCACACCTTAAATGACTGTGATGGTCATGCATTAGTGGAATATATAAGGAATAACATAAGAACAATTCATCCTCAGGGAACTGAAAATGTCAACGCAGCACATGTTCAAACTGTCAGCAAGGACAAATAATAATCTCGACTAATAATAATGGATATTATAGCAGAGTTACAAGGTATAAACCTGTCATTACAAACACAAATGCACATTTGAAAAAAAAAAAACAAAAAACAAAACATTGCCATAAGTTCATAAAGACGGGGGATAGGGAGTCTTAGTATGAATCAATACAAACTTATTCTGACAGACCACATAACAATGGTTTAATGAGTATGAGCATGTTGTAAATCATAAGCTTTGAACTTCACAGTCACCAGATCTTAACCAAAATGAACTCCTATGGCAGGATTTTGACCAACAGGCTAAGTTCACATTACAAGCCTCATTTCTCAAATCCGATCTCTCTGACATGGTGGGTCACACTTGTTTAGGTAAGTGATTCAAATCTGTCATTAATGTGAAGGACCGGTGTCCTGAAATTACCCGCATGGTAACTCTAAATGATGGCGCATGCGCAGTGGAAACAAGCACATGAATTCCGATCTGAGCGTTCTCATTAAGGTCGCATGGTCACGCGCATCTAATCTAGAACAACATATGAAAGTGGCTGAAGTTCGGATTTGCGCATCCACACAGCCCTGAAAACATCACATCTGAGTCACATTAGGGCAAAAAATCGGATTTGTGCCACTTCAACCAGGTAATATGAACGCAGCCTAGACAGCATGCTCTCGTGTAGAATTCTAGGCCCTGGAAAATGAACTTATCCTAGGTAAAGTAGAACAATGCTTTTAGGAAACTTATTTACTACAGCCTACTGGCAGTAGGTAAGTAAAGTAGGAAAGTACTTATCCCCTTCCCATCCATCCATCCATTATCTAAACCGCTTATCCTTCTGGGTCGCGGTGGGGTGCTGGAACCTATCCCAGCTGTCATTGGGCGGAAGGCAGGATACACCCTGGACAGGTCGCCAGTCCATCGCAGGGAAGACAGACAGACATACACATTCACACACGCACTCACACCTAGAGGCAATTTAGCATGTCCAATTAGCCTGACTGCATGTCTTTGGACTGTGGGAGGAAACCGGAGTTATCCCCTTCCCAATTTCTTGTATTTTCGCATATTTGTCACGCTTAAATGTTTCAGAACATCAAACTGCTTTATTATTAGACAAAGATAACCCAAGTAAACACAAAATGCTGTTTTTAAATGATGATTTCATTTATTGATGGAAAAATGCTGTTCAGCCCTATCTGGCCCTATGTGAAAATGTACTTGCCCCCTTAGCTACCAAATCAACCAGTTAACTAAATTCAATTGACAATTGGATTCGATTTCACTGGCCACATCCAGGCATTATTACTACCAGACCTGTTGAATCTAAACATCACTTAAATAAAACCTATCTGGCAATGTGAAGCAGGCTAGAAGGTCTCTTTTTTAAAAATAAATAGAATATCCTTTTTGTCCCCATACAACTAACACAGATGCTAGTTACACATTGTGTATATTTGTCAATCATATACTTCAAAAAAGCATTCATTTTAACTCATTTGAGCCATTTTCAGCAAAGAAATGAAGTAAAACATTTTGAACGGTAACATACGTGTTTTCTTTAATGTTGAAGAATTATGCAAAATAAAGTTTATTTTTTAAGAGTTACAAAGGCTAAACAGCACCCCATCGTGGACTTACATAGACATGTAATTTCTGTATTCTGAAGAAGTATTCGGTTATATCTTAATCCTTGATACTAATTTACCCAGTAGGGGGCGGTACTACAGCCTCCGACGTTCGGGCAAAAATAAAAGGCTAAAGGAAGAAGACACGGTCAGTTTACAACAAAACAGTAGAGCGACAGCAGGCTGCTGAAGAGGTGTCGAGACAAGGGGACCAAAAGAGTAAGTTAAGGAAAACAATTTCATAACTAAGATCTAAATACTCAGATATTGCCATGCACAGTTATGAACGATAGTTGTTTTGTTTGTGGTAGGTAGTAGTAGGTTTACTTTACTGGTGATCGCTCCGCTTATAAACGACGACCGAAGAGGAGCCACTTTTTGTTCGTTTGTGTAGTTAGGTTAGGTAGGTTAGTTAGTTAGCTAATAGTTCATATTTGCGCTGTTTAATCAGACCAGCCATGTCGTTCTGCGTATAATAACTAGCTATAATCTTAAAGACTTAATGTCTTTGTGCAAAGTTTTGTTCGTTCACCTTTAGACACGACTGTAAGTAGTTTTTCAGACAGGATCTTTTCAACACGCTGTTGGTGAAGAGGCTATAAATGGCCGAAGTGCAGAAGCAGTGCTTTTCAAATCTAACGCAAGAGCAGCGTTGCAGCCGGTAGAGAGGTTTCACAACAATATGTGACAGCAGGCTAATAAACAAATAAATTAGGCCTATGGAATATGAACAGGAGCAGAACTAACATTTTTGTTGATAGCTTAATTTGGTGATAGCTTAAGTTGGTGATTGGGAGTTAATTTGGGGGCATATGAATAGCCAAATGTGTCTTTTGTCTCTAAATGAAAAGTACATCAGACCTAATTATTTAATGAAATATCTGTGTGGTGCAATTCCTTGGAAGAGCTAGGTACTGTTCTTTTTGTGCACTTAGAGCTAAAGCACTTCACATAGTTATTAACTGTAATGCTAAATTATTATTAAATGTGATGCATCATTGGAGTATATCATAGCTCATATATTGCAGAAATGGATGGAAAATATTTACATCAAGCTTTTTTACCCAACCCAGAAAATGATCTAAGCTATTAACAGATTTCTTGTTTTGTTTTCTTTGTTGTTGTTTTATTCTTCCTAGAGATGCAATCAGTGATAAAACACAATCTCCACTCTGAGAGTGAAGCAGCTATCAATAAGCTGATCAACATCAAGCTAACAGCATCCTACACCTACCTCTCTCTTGTGAGTTCTTTAGTTCCTCTCCTCTTATACTTTTGGCCAATAACTGTCTGGTCCTCCAGGCACTGGGGTGATTTTGCTGCTAACTTGCACTCGTAGCTCATGTGATATTGATGTTATTTATTGTAAAATGCATTATATATGTAATGACAACACACACCATTATCAACAACCTGTAGAACAGTACATTTTACAAACTGATGCCTGTCTGTTTCTCTCAGGGCATGTATTTTGACAGGGATGATGTAGCTCTGCCCAACTTCTCCAGTTTTTTTCTGGAACGCTCAGTGAAAGAGAGAGAGCAAGCTGAGAGTCTGCTGGAGTATCAGAGCACGAGAGGTGGAAGAGTCCTTCTTCAGACCATTGCGGTCAGTTAGCCTTTAGAGTTGTAGTACGCATGAGTTGGTCAAGATTTTGGCCACAGTTTTGCATAATATACTTTTAGTATGTTAACAGTTTGTACTAGCTCAGGTTATATGTACAGGGCATGCTCTTCAGAAGAACTTAATTTTTTTTATACTGGCAGAGCAGTCTCTTTTGAAGTAGGCCAGTACTGTTGCTGAGAATGAATTAGGTCAAGATTTAAGTCGCAGTCTGGCATAATACACCATTATGTTAGCACCCTGATCCTCATGGCACCCATTCTAGTAACCTGGCTTATATTTTAGCAACAGATTTTAGAGACATAAAAGCTTACCAAATGATATTGTTTCAGCTTCAAGCAGGTGCTGCTTGTTGACGGTAACTGGCTTAATGGCATCTTTTTAATGGTGAATGGGTTCCTAACTCCTACCACATAAATTGCATCACTAATAAGTGTTTATGACCTGTGAAATGAAATCAAAAGGACATGAGAGTTGGAAATACATTTATATCTTAGCCTGCCATTTGGATTGTTTGACTTGGATTAAATATCTTTTTTTTTAATGCACCCTACAGTAAGGTGATATTTGATTAAGAAATATCTCTCCAATTTTACTTGCAGAAGCCAAGTCGTGAAGATTGGAGAGGTGGCCAGGATGCCATCTCTTTCTCTCTTGAGTACCAGAAATCTTTGAACAACTCTCTGCTTGATATCCACCGCATAGCAGGGAAACACACTGATCCCCACGTAAGTTGTGTATTTAAGAAAAAGGGTAGGAAGAATCGAGTTGACTTTTAAATCCAGTAGATGTTAGATTTAATTGTGTTTCAGCTTTGTACATGTAAGGGGAGGAGGTATTAGCTATATCTTCCCTTACACCTTCAGGTGGGCTTAGCTGCTGCACATAAGCTTAATTGTCTTCTGTTTCCTCTTAATCATCAAAAGGGAATGTTATGCTTAGGCAGTGCTTAAAGTTTCCTGTTGTTTCATATACCCTGTTGTGCTAGCGTGCAAGTTATAGCTAGACCACTTTCTTCCTTGAATGTCCTGGAAGTGGATTTGTACTACATGGCTTTATGTTTTCAATGCACCAGAGTTATATCATTAGCTAATAAGCTCTTTCCAGAGCTAAGTTGGATGCCACAGAGTTGTTACCCACCCTCTTCCTGAAGATCCTGCAGGTTTCACCTCAAACACACCTCATTCAGCTAATTAAGGATTACTGAGGGCAATATTAGATGGATCAGGTGAGGTTGATTAGTTAGAGCTAAAGTCTACAGGAAAGTAGATCTCCAGAAACAGGGTTGGTGACCATTGCAACAGAGCAAGGAAAACATGAAACTGCATGGTTGGTGAACTTCCAGGGCTGGAGTTAGGACACCTTAAACCAGACCTTATAGGCTGTGGTGACTCCCCTGTGAAATATGACTTTTTTTCCCAGCTGTGTGACTTCCTGGAGAGCCAGTTCCTGCCAGACAGCCATGACACCATTAAGAAACTGGGTGACCACCTGAGCAGCCTGATGCGTCTCACCTCCAGCGAGCCCAACGGCCACATGGGAGAATACCTCTTTGACAAACACACTCTGTGAATGGGTTCCTAATAGTTATTAGGACCTCAACAGGCATCATTCCTTGATGAAGAGTGCAATAGTGTGAGCCAGATGTTACTCCTGCCAAGTTTCATACAGCAAAAAAAAAAACTGGAAAGACAGCCTCTCAACTCCTGTGTTATATTCTGTGGAGGCAAAGCCATATAAAATCCCTCTAAGAATGAGATCTTGAGAAAAAATTGAATAAGCTAAAATACCAGCTATGCACACTGAAAGTAGAGTGTGGGGACAGATGTGTCAACCCCAATTAGATACCTCAAACTATGGTAATAAGTTACAAACCTTGGTGCTAAGAATCCGTATGGCTTCAACAAGACTGGCCAGCAGTGTTTTGTGACTCCCATTCTGTGTTTCCTGAAAGAGAAAATTTGTATCTTGGTTTTCATAGCTGTTTATCTCTTCCATTATAGATCAGTCACTGCTGTTCATTGTTTCATCTGATGAGTTCCGTTAATATGAATTACAAAGTTAAATAAAATTACATTAAATTTACAACATAATCTGGTGTTACCTTCTCATGTCAAATGTTCTGAACCTTTCCCCCTCTCGATCTTCTACTCCTCCTGGGTCTAGGGTTCAGTGCTATGCCTTTTACTGCTTTTAGCTTCCATTGAAAAAATAATGCCAAATTTAATGGGTCTCTGGCTTGTAGATTCTAACTAAATTACACTTTCAAGAAGAAGACTGACATAAATTCCCATGGTACTGAACGTTTACAGAAAATAATGCACTGTACATAATTTTTTTTTAATAAAGGCTGGGTCATTCTTAAAAGTTTAGGATAAAATATAATTTAGCAATTTGAACAGATTGTGTTCCACACACTGCCTGAGGACAAAAAAAAGAAACAGGCCAGTTTCTCTCTACAGATGAGGCTTTAAATCCCATCCTATGCAGCTAGGGTGTGTAAACTGGTATTTAATGTTTTAATAGACAGTATTTCAAGGGCCTCGAGCACAGCTAGGCTGATGCTAGCGATACTGACACTGAATTGCTAGAAACATTCAAGCAAAATGAGTCTGTTGTACCAATCTAATTAGGAGTTTCAAAACTCAGTTTAAAACAGTTTCACCCCTGGACATTACATAATTATGTTATGACATAGAATAGAGTCATAATTTTGTTGTGTGGATTTATATAGCTGTAAAAAAAGTGATGTTACTAGGTCTGATGCAAAAAAACGACTGTCTCAAACGCTTTCACAAATGATACTAACAAAAGTTTTAAAAATATTTTTTGTGTCTTATTCTGATTACGTGTCTCATTCTTAAAAGTAATCAGTACTACTGTATGCAGAAGTAGCAGAGATAAGTTTGATTGGAAGGACTTGGATCTGGTACGTGATGACACAGAGAATGTGCTCTTCAACTGTTTTTAACACAAGCATTCTTAAAGAACTGAAATGTTCCTGATCGTTTCACTAGTTTCTACCATCAAGTAATTGATACCCAATGACAAACCATGACTATTAGCACTAGGCCTATACTTCTCCTATCTTCCCTATGGAATTCTAGTCATTTGTGAGTGCTAAACTAATGGCTGTATGCATGCACAAATTTTGGCAGTCCTAGATTTAACACAGACATCTGATGTTTCAAAATGACATTTCATGGTTTACTTCAAGCTTGTAGCAGACATGCAACGATCAGGCATAGCATTATGACCACCTCCTTGTTTCTACGCTCATTGTCCATTTTATCAGTTCCACTTACTATATAGGTGCACTTTGTGGTTCTACAATTACAGACTGTAGTCCATCTGTTTCTCTGCTCTGTGAGGGTCCATGGGGGTCCTGACCACTGAAGAACAGGGTAAAAGGGAGCTGACAATGTATGCAGAGAAACAGATGGACTACAGTCTGTAATTGTAGAACCACAAAGTGCACCTATATAGTAAGTGGAACTGATAAAATGGACAATGAGCGTAGAAACAAGGAGGTGGTCATAATGTTATGCCTGGTCGGTGTATTAGCTTATATTTTACTTTGTAGAAGTTCCACAAATCATGAGAGTTGCCCCTCTCCTGATACCTTGAAGGCAAAACAGCATTTGTAAGAAAGAATGGATAAAGCAATTGGACTTTGTGGTTTTTATTTTTATTACATAAATCTCCTTTTAAATTCTGTGTTATATATGTATGCACGGTGGCGCAGTGGGTAGTGCTGTTGCCTCACAGCGAGAATGGCCTGGGTTCGTTTCCCGGCTGGGCGACCAGGGTCATTTCTGTGGGGAGTTTGCATGATCTCCCCGTGTCTGCGTGGGTTTCCTCCGGGTACTCCGGTTTCCTCCCACAGTCCAAAAACATGCAGTTAAGCTAATTGGACATGCTAAATTGCCCCTAGGTGTGAGTGTGTGATTGTGTATGTCTGTCTGTCTGCCCTGCGATGGACTGGCGACCTGTCCAGGGTGTATCCTGCCTTCCGCCCAATGACAGCTGGGATAGGCTCCAGCACCCCACCGCGACCCAGAAGGATAAGCGGTTTAGATGATGTATGTATGTATGTATGCACTTTCAATTCCACATTACCCCATTTATCTGTTTAACTGTAAACTTTGGATGTTTTTCTTTGTTGCCATCTTTTTCAGTGTGAGAGGATAAGATGTGAATGCCAAATAACCACTGTGATGTGTTGAATAAATCATTACCTTTCTGCTTTATTCTAATAAGCAGTAAGTTATGAATTTGATGTTTTCATTATATTTAACAAAAAGTACCAATCCTTCAGAGTTAATACAGGCATGGGGAGTGTGGCAGCAGATTCAAGGCGTTTTGCACTAACAGTCACCACTCCTCCTAAAAAGACCATTTTCACTAATCTAATGTTTTCCTCCTGTCTGAAATGGTGGAGATAAGAAAAAGACTTTGTGAGACTGCAAAAACGCTGACTCACAGTCTGAATCTTAGGCTGGGATGTTATTTGGTGTGGTTACTAAAAGAAGTGGAGTCCTTACTTTTAAAGAAATATATAATCAATGTGTGGATGGTGAGAAAGACTAAGTGAGTTCAAATAAAAAACACTATACCTAAAAACATACCTATACATTTCATGACCTAGATCTTGTGCATGGTCTTTGTATGTTTGCATGGGATATACCAGGATGGTCATCCAAAAGCTCAGTGAGATACAGGAGTCTAAAGTACATCTCAATGTATGAATAGATAAGGTACAACCTACAGTGGGGTGTTTGTCTCAAGTCCTGTAGAGCCACAGGACTGCATATGATTGTACATGACAATCTATGTGTCTGACTAGATACACTGTCTGAAACATTGTTTTACAATAGCTTTGAGATAAGGATTTTGCCCAAAATGTATTTTTAACATCCACCCATGGTGGAGAGATACATGCAGTGTGTCCTTTGTGTAGCACACTAAGAAAACATTGTTTCTGATTTATCACTATTTTACAACTATCATCAGTACATATCAAAACTCAGCATACATATCAGACACGTCTAGGTTCACTGGTTGTTTTGGATAGCAAATAAAATGGTTATATCATGACCCCTGGTCCTATTAAGAAATCCAAATGAATACGTTTCTTTACAATGTTCCATTTCACAATATAATACTCAGAATGACTTTCAACAGAAATGTTCAAAATTTGCTGGAATATCCAGTTTTACTGAGAAATTCTGCATGTTAAACTGCCCTAAAAACAAGAGCTTAACACTCCTGCACTAAAGCAAGTTCTGCACATTAGAACTGCAGTGTCATCGTGTTTGTGCGGCAGAGGACTGGCATGACCTGAGTCATAAGAGAAGACAAAACATTACCTTTTAGAGGAGGCACCTAAGAACAGCATGAGACTCTATAATTTGCCCTATACCACACAGAAGTATTAAGTCATTGTGGTGAAGGTAACCACATTGTTGCAAAACGAAGTGTGGGACATAATGACAATAAATTACACAGTATGCATTACATGTTATTACACACCTGCTGACATTTCAACTTTAATCTGAGTGCACTGTCTGAGTATACTTATACATCTGTGTTAGTGGTAAGTGTATTTTCACATGGGATAGGGAGATCAATACAGAAGTATTGATGTGTCCAGTCCTTACATTTCCTTTTGAGAACTGATCATAAATATAAAAAAATTGCATTAATTTAGTTTAATGAGAATTTCATGCTGAAGAGTGAAAAAAAAGATTGTGTAGGATAGGAACATACACACACAGACATTACCCAGGTAAACAGTCATAGGCCTAAATTTGAGTTACTCTAATCATTTAATGCCAATGATTTCCTGAAACAGGTTATTTCTAAAGAGGTACAACTGTACAGTAATACAATGGCAGTCAAAAAGAACTGCTCACATGCATGTGTCATACACTCATTTTAGTATGATGTGTTTGTCCTGTATGTTCATTTAAAGGAGTAAAACCACATTAAAAACAGAGATTCCAACAAAGCAAAGATACCACACAGGCTTGATTAAAATTGAAATCTTATGGGAATACATTGGCAAATGTGAGGAGAAGAGAAGTAAAATCCAACCAGTAAGGATGTTCGGTGGACAACACTGAAGAATATGTGGGCGGTTCCTCTGAACTGCAGAGCGATGCGGTGTCTCAAAAATGGAAACAGGGCGTCTGTCAAGAACGGCACAGTGCATCACATGGCTTTCTGCCGCCTGCAACTGGTGCAGACATCCTCATTGATTAAAACGAAAGCGTTTTGCTTTTGTTATTTGTTGCTCGTGTCACTTGCTGTTTGGACATGGTGTTCCTTTTTCCCGCTGTGCTGTTAATAAAGTTCCCACAGGGATTCAAAACTGCTGTTTAGATTTTCTTATAAGGGGTCTCATAGGTGTCCCCTAGTGACATGGGGCCCTGGGCTCGTGCCATAAAAACCATTGGATAATCCAGGCCTATCTCATAGATAGCCATCAGTGCAGGACAGTCAGTCACTGACAAACCATGTACATAGCCCTCGTTTAAATGGTAATTTATACAAATGCTTTGGGCATTAATCAGATTCTAGAAAGAGACAGCAGTGGTGAAAATTGTAAACAATCTCTTATTATCCTCTTACCAAAGATATGTGTCTTTGCTTTCTTCTGCTTGATCATAGTGCAGCATTTGATACAAAAGACCACTGTAACAGGAACATCTTACCTGACTGATCGCTATCAGTTTGTAAATGTAAATGGCAAATCATGTGTTCTTACAAAAATAAAGTATTGTGTTCCATAGGGTTCTATTTTAGGGCCTCTATTATTTACATTATATTTACATTATGCTATCACTAGGCCCCACAACATTATATATGCTACCACTAGAGAAACATGATGTGAATTTCCACTGCTATGCTGATGACACACAGTTTTATATCCTGGCCAAACCAGAAGAAAAAATTCAACTTAATCAGATTGAGGGCCGTGTAAAAGACATTAAAGACTGCATGTTAAGTAACTTCCTCCGAATAGCATTCCTTCATCTTCGCAATATTACCAAATTAAGAAATGCACTGTCTGCCAGCCGGTTAAATTCTGCATTGAGTACAAAATTCTTCTACTGACATATAAAGCTCTAAATGGCCTTGCCCCTCAGTACCTGAACGGACTCATCAACTTATTAACCCAGTTGCTGGGGATAGTATTACAAAAGTATATTTCAAAAGTGGGCTCTGAGACACTCTTGTGAAACATGGCAATAAAGCTGTGACTCCAGATTCTTCTCCAGGTAATTAATTGTTTTATTTTGAATCCAGTGTCTACAGGCAAAAAGTGAATGATTTACTTCGTAAATGTCAATGGCAGAGGCATGCCACGTAAGAGTGACAATTTCACAATAGCCCAAAATCATCACTATCAAAATAGTCTTTATATTCAGATTAAAAGAAATCTTTCTTTACATCAAGTTTAAAATAAACACTTCACATTTAAGTTTTTCAGAAAAAATCATCAACATCAAAATCGATCACTTGCATATCTTTGCCTTTCTTTATTGTTTCTTTTCTCTGCGCCTCCTCCTCCTCTTCCTCTTCCTCTTTGTCCTCTGTCACTGCCTCTGCATCTTTCTTCTGCTTCTGGTCTTGGTACTCCCAGTAGATTCCTGTTAAAGCCTGAGCAGCTTCTAGAGACACTCGCAGCTTCCCCACTACCTCCTGCTCATCATCCATACTGAAAACTGAAAGAAAGAGACAAAGAGAACAAACTTATTTTTAAAGGGGTGATGATTTTGCATAGTGAATACCCTTATAAAAGGTTAACACCAACTTACTGTCAATTTGCCGTTCAATTACATCATTTCCTGTAAGCAGAAGTTCCTGCAAGTCCAGGTGGGCTTGGCCAACATCTTTACACTCATCTTCCTCATTCAGTGGCTCACTCACAACAGTGAACTTTAACCTGAGTGATTAGCAAGGTTTTAAGGATTTTAGTTTGTTGTAAAACAATCTGGATTATTTGTTATATTTTATTATTTATTATATTCTTCCCAAACAATTTAGCTTTGCACAATCTTGTTGGGCTCTAATATATATCAGTCCCTCAGTCCTCTTATCACAGACAATACCACAAATGAGCATCAGGCAGTACATTGGCAATTTTTTTGCTCTGTCTTACTCTGATCCATTTTCTGTTTACCTGCCCTGGTTGGGATCAGTGCCTTGCAGCATAGTGTAAAGAAAGCGCCTCAGAGGAGCCGCTTCCATGGTGTCCACATGTATGACTAAAAAAGTGAGGGATGGACAGAAAGTTTAATATTAAGAAAAAAGCAGGCAATAGAATAGGCAATAAAGCGACAGCATTCTTGTTCTGTAGTAGACTCTCTTCTCATCAGGCTCCCTTTTCATAAATGCAGGTACTTACACTCTTAAAAATAAAGGTGCTTAAAATTGTTTAATTGGAGCAATGCCACAGAAGAATCACATTTGGCTCATTGAAATAATTCTTTAAAGAAGCTTATTTAACCTACATGATAAGTCATGTAGTCAAGGACTTTATGTCCTTGATTACTTGGTTCAGATGTTTTCAAAGGTGGGGAAGAAATGTCATGTTTTGTGAACTGTGCTGGATTAAAGAGATTAAAAATTTGTTGTCATCAGGTATAATATTGTTTATATATTTTCCTACTTATTTATTTATTTGTCAGGGATACTGGCCATTAATAAACAGTATCAACATAGCCATAAATGAGCCAGTATTAGCCCAAAAGGCCCATTTTCATAAATTTTGATGGCTCCATGACTAAATCCAGTGCTACTAGAGAAGAGAATTAATGAACACCAAATTGAATGGATGGTGTATGACTAAAATTGAAGCTAAGCAAAGCAAACAGACCCACAAATGCAGTACATGTCCACTAAATAAAAGAATCTGAAAATACATTAGCAGCTCTAATAACCTCTGGTAAAATTGTAATGTATTTCCTCTCCCTCTGTTGGTTTCCGCAGAGACATGGGGGTTTCTGTGGTCTCCATGGGAACACCAAAGAGGCGGTACTCCACATAGACTTGCTGCACTGATTGGTTCAAAGCAACACTTGAGGAAGGGTCAAACAAAAGTGATAAGATCTCCACTCTAAGTCTGTCCCCCTGAAAAAACAAAACAAAGGGAATCAATTAATTTCATATTTATTATGTCTTTGAATATCATCATCATCATCATCATCGTCGTTAACCGCTTAGTCCAGCTAGGGTCCCGGTAGCAGTTGGGAGAGCAGAGAATCCCAGATGACCCTGTCCCCCGCAACTTCCTCCAGCTCATTCCCGGGGACCCCAAGGCACTCCCAGGCCAACTTGGAGATATAATCCCTCCAGCGCCTCCTAGGACGACCCCGGGGTCTTGTCCCAGTAGGCCGTGCCTGGTACACCCCCACTGGGAGGCGTCCAGGGGGCATCCGGATCAGATGCCCGAACCACCTCAGCTGGGTCCTCTCAATGCGGAGGAGTAGCGGCTCTGCTCCGAGCTCCTCCCGGATGGCCGAGCTCCTCACCCCATCAAATAGAGTGTAGCCCGCCACCCTGCGAAGAAAGCTCATTTCCGCCGCTTGTATTCGCGATTTCATTCTTTCGGTCATTATCCATAGCTCATGACCATAGGTGAGGGTTGGGATGTAGACCCCAAGATACTTAAATTCCTCCACCTAGGGCAAGTCCTTTCCCCCTAACTGGAGTGGGCATGCCATCCTTTTCCGGGCTAAGACCACGGACTCAGACTTGGAGGTGCTGATCCTCATACCAACTGCTTCACACTCAGCTGCAAACTGCTCCAGTGCGCGCTGGAGGCATCCATGTGATCCAGCCAAAAGAGCAACATCGTCTGCAAATAGCAGAGACGCCACCCTTCAGCCTCCACACATAATGCCCTCCTGACCACGGCTACGCCTTGACACCCTGTCCATGAATATCACGAACAGGAGTGGAGACAGGGCACAACCCTGGCGGAGTCCAACGCTAACACTGAAAGAGTCCGACTTAATGCCGAGTATACGAACACAGCTCTCACTCCGGGAGTACAGAGATTGAATGGCCCAGAGTAGCAGCCCCGGCACCCCATACTCCCAGAGGACCTCCCACAAGATATCTCGGGGAACACGGTCGTAAGCCTTCTCCAAATCCACAAAACACATGTAGACTGGATTGGCAAATTCCCATGCCCCCTCAACAATCCGTGAGAGGGTGAAAAGCTGGTCCATTGTTCCACGGCCGGGATGGAATCCGCATTGTTCCTCCTCAATCTGAGGTTCAACTATTGGTCGAAGTCTCCTTTCTAGCACCTTGGCATAGACTTTCCCAGGGAGGCTGAGCAGTATGATACCCCGATAGTTGGCACACACCCTCCGGTCCCCTTTCTTAAAAATAGGAACCACCACCCCAGTCTGCCAGTCCAAGGGTACCGTTCCCGAGGTCCATGCAATATTGCAGAGGCATGCCAGCCACGACAGCCCCACAATATCCAGAGTCTTAAGCATCTCTGGACGAATCTCATCCATCCCCGGTGCCTTGCCACTGAAGAGCTTGCCAACTACCTCAGTGACCTCCACCAGTGAAATGGAGCTTGACATGCCAGAAGCCTCTGGCCCTGACTCCTGTGAGGGACGCATATCTTCTGGATTAAGGAGTTCCTCAAAGTGCTCCTTCCACTGACCGACAATATCCTCATTTGAAGTCAGAGCTTCCCCACCCCTGCCGAATACAGCTTGGGCGCAGCCACTCCGACTGCTCCTGAGTCACCGGACAGTTGTCCAGAACCTCCTTGAGGCCGACCGAAAGTCTTTTTCCATGGCTTCTCCAAACTCCTCCCACGCCCCGGATTTTGCTTCTGCCACCGTTGCAGCTGCCACCTTTTTCGCCTGTCGGTACCTATCTGCTGAGTCGGGAGTCCTTTGTGCCATCCAGTCCCTAAAGGCCTCTTTCTTCAGCTTGACGGCCTCCCTCACCCCCGGTGTCCACCAGGGGGTTCTTGGGTTACCGCCCTGACAGGCACCAACAAGCTTTTGGCCACAGCTACGCCTGGCAGCTTCCATAATGGAGGTTTTGAACAGGGTCCATTCAGACTCCATGTCCCCTACCTCCTCCAGGACATGAGAAAAGCTCTCCCGGAGGTGGGAGTTAAAATCTTTCCGAACAGGGGCCTCCGACAGTCGTTCCCAGCACACCCTCACTATTCGCTTGGGCCTACCGGGTCTGACCATCGGTCTTCCCTGCCATGTACACTTATGAACATCCTTGTGCTCGAACTTGGTGTTCGTTATGGACAATCCATGCCTGGCACAGAAGTCCAATAACAATTCACCATTCGGGTTTAGATCGGGCAGGCCGTTCTTCCCAATCACGCCTCTCCAGGTCTCCCAGTCATTGCCAACATGAGCATTGAAGTCTCCCAGTAAGTCTATGGAGTCTGTAGGCAGGACCCTTTCCAGAACCCCAGCCACTTGCTCCAAGAAGGCCGAATACTCCGACCTGCTGTTTGGTGCATAAGCACACACAACAGTCAGAGTTTTCCTCTCTGCGATTTTAATTCGCATTGAGGTGACCCTCTCGTCCACCGGGACAAAATCCAACTGCACGGCTGCCAGCCGGGGACTCGTGAGTATCCCCACACCCGCCCAGCGCCTCTCACCCTGTGCAACCCTGGAGTAGGAGAGGGACCAACCGCTATCAAGGAGTTTGGTTCCAGAGCCGACACTGTGGGTGGAGGTGAGCCCAACTATATCTAGTTGGTACCTCTCAACCTCCCGCACAAGCTCCGGCTCCTTCCCCCCCAGTGAGGTTACATTCCACATACCAAGAGCCAGTTTCTGCCGCCGGGGCCTAGGCCACCAGGGGCCCCCCCGCAATCTCCCACTGCCTATACGGCACTGCAACGCTCCCCCATGCTGGACCTTGCGGGTGGTGGGCCCACATGGTCCCCCCACGTTGCCTCTTCACCGTCACTGGGTTACGTGGGCTGCCTGGCCACCAGGCGCTCGCCGGGGGACGCTACCCCCAGGCCTGGCTCCAGGGGTAGGTCCTGGTGACCCTTTCCCGGGCAGGGTACACGCTTGTCTGTGTCCATTTTTCATAGAGGATTTTGAATATATATATATTCAAATATATATGTATATACCTTTTTGATGGGTTTTGGTGGTTGAGGTATTATAATGACATCACTACCGCTTGAGGCACTTGATTCCTCAGACTCCAAGACTTCCTCAATGTCCTTTGGAGCTGCTCAGGTGAAGTCACAGTAGCAAAATCAATTTAACCTTTTTCATATATTTTTATGCATACTGTCAAAAACTTGATTTAATGTAGATAAACAATCTTTCTCACTTTTCCCACTCCTAGACATCTGTTCTTCTTCCTCTTCTTCCTGTTTCACTGATTTTATAGCCTTTAAAGGAGAAAATGGATAAACCTTGAACGTGATGCCAAGCCTAGGGACCAACTGGAACTAAGTTCAGACTTCATTTTTGTAGTAGCACTTAAGAAACCATCTCTTTTTCTTACTTGTACTCTTGAATCACTTCCTGATTTCCTCTGCTGGCTGCTTGAGAAGACTGGCGACCATATGTCTGTAGTATGGTCAAAATCAGGTGACCTGCTGGGCTTAACCAGACCCTTGCTGCGTGACTTCATGTGAATAGTTTGGGTACGTACTGAGCTCTCAGGTCTATGTATTTTGATTGATGGAGGCTGGGGCAGTGGCTGAAAAAGAGAATATGCAATTAAGAGAAAATGCAATGTGACATGATCCTTTTAATGACCATTTCATGAACTAAGCAGTGTAAGAGGTAAACATCAAATACTTAAAGAGTGCAATATGATTTTTACCTGGTCCCTTTCATCTTTGCGAGGACTCAGCTTTTGTTGAGCTGCTTTTGACTGAAACCAAAAAGATGTGCAATAAAGAGTGAAAAAGAAAAGTAGCATTTCTGTGTGGTTTTCATTTTCCATAACAGTAAATCTACTTCCAAATATAACTGAACTTTCTCTAATAATTCACTAATCCACATGGTAAGCAGACAAACACACAAACACACAAAAAAGGGTGGGCAATGTGGCAAAAATTCAACATTTACATATTTGGAGTATGCTCTTATCTAGAGCTACTTACAACTTAAATCATGTTATAGAGGTAGGCGAATGTAGGGTTCAGATTCTTGCTCAATGCCTCTTATTGGTAGAGCGTGGGATCCAACCAGGCAATGAAACCCCAGTCTACCAATATGGAAGGCACTGATAATTGCCCACTAAACTTTACCAACCATCACAAAACACAATATACACTGATCAGGCATAATATACAGTACATAGCAGGTACTATTTGGGTGGTGGATAATTCTCAGCACTGCAGTAACACTGATGTGGTGGTGGTGTATTAGAGTGTGTTGTGCTGGTATGAGTGGATCAGACACAGCAGTATTGCTGGAGTTTTTAAACACCTCAGTGTCACTGCTGGACTGAGAATAGTCCACCAACCAAAAATATCCAGCAACAGCGTCCTGTGGGCAGCATCCTGTGACCACTGATGAAGGACTAGAGGATGACCAACACAAACTGTGCAGCAGCAGATGAGCTATCATCTCTGACTTTACATCTACAAGGTGGACTGACAAGGTAGGAGTGTCTAATAGAGTGGACAGTGAGTGGACACAGTGTTTAAAAACTCCAGCAGCACTGCTGTGTCTGATCCACTCGTACCAGCACAACACACACTAACACACCACCACCACCACCATGTCAGTGTTACTGCAGCACTGAGAATGATCCACCACCCAAATAGTACCTGCTCTGTGAGGGTCCATAGTCATAATGTTATGCCTGATCAGTGAATATCATAATCTTTAGTGTGAATGAGGTTTGTGAACAAGTTGGAACTAACAAAATACACCAGCAAAAAGTCAGCATTAGAAAATATAAGCTATGTAAGAAGGACCATGAGAAAAAACATCAAATGAAAATAAATAAATAAATCAATCAATAAGATAATGACATAATGGACTGATATCTAATCACCTACTTGTTACTATACACTGATTTGCATTTACAGGCTTTGTATAACTGGTTTAAATTAGTGTTTGATATTCTAGGAATACTAGAATAATGCCCCTAATGGAACAGGGCATATGATATAAGAAACCATATCATGCTGAAAATGCATCATGATGTAACAACAGTGACAAAATATTCTCATTTTGCCCACAACTACACACAAACACACCCTGGGCTTAGCGATCGGCCTCTGTAAAACTTCAGTTCCAACTTCAGTTCTGTCTTCAGTCTTCTCCAGCCTCTCTGTTCTTTCCTTTCTTCCTGGTCTAGAAAGAATTTCTGGTGATTGGAAGGGGTACCTCCACTGAAGATGCACCCTCGCTGTGCCTCTAGGTCCCCCAGCAGGGTCCCTCAGGACATAATCACCTGATATAAGCCAACAGATTTAGTTCAACTTGCTAATCAATACAAACATACATGTCCTGATAGGCAGTCTTTGATCAGCGAAGTTTATTGAAATTATCAGAGAGAAAATTAGATGTGCTAGCTGATGTCTTTTACACATGGAAATATTTATTCTCATGATCCCAGGATGTTTTAGAAGTGTTGCCATTTAGGATTGAAACTCAAAACGTACTATTGTATTTTTACATGTATTTTTCTTTCTGAGTAGTGATAGGATGCTGGCCCTGGCCTATCCCAGCATGCATTTCTTACATAACGACACATGTATTGTGACCATTGTGCCACGTAGTCATGTCGTTCTTTCAGTCAGTGAAATGAAGGCAAGAGTGAAGCAAGGCTCTTGAAAATCAGGTCTGCTCTGCTTGGTTTTACCTTTAATCGGTCTGCCAGTTGTCAAGGCCCGGAGTGGAACGGGTGTCTTGGCCAGGTAATTATGAGAGCTTGGCCTTCATTGTCATCAAACACATACACCCATAGGCTGCCCACCTTCAGGTATTCCATCAGATCTGCTGTGACTGCAAGTGGATAGATAGTGGAGTCTGCAAACACAGGGTCTGCACAGCATGGTACTATGGGTGTGGAGTGAGGAGGTAGGTCATAAAGGCGATAAGTTAAATAAGCATCAGGAAGAAGTCCCGGCCAGCGTGCACTGAGACCCACACATCGTTCCAGTACCACCATCAGCTCATTTGGTATCCCTCCACCATAGTCAAATAACTCTTGAGTCTGTAAAAGCAAGAACATTGGTTGAAATGAGTTCAGTTCATCCAGTCAGATTGTAGACTGTTTGTGCTGACATGATATTGGCCTAGAATCCAAGACTCAGATTACGCCTAATGCAGAGAAGTCCAAACCCCATCCTATAGTCAGCTTTTATGTGGCAAGTTCGACAAAATTAGATTTTTTTTAAAATTATTTTGACATTTAAGTCAAACCGTATTATCAGGGTTTGATGATGGAGTGAAAGCGTTGAGATGTCAGTCACAATTGGGTTTCACTTTAATATTCAAACTGTTAACCTCTAGAGCAAAGACTAGGGAAAACCAACTCAGCTGCAATAAGCTAGGCCTTTACCTCTGGCTGTACATGACTCCCATCCATAGCTGTGTGTATTGGCCATCTGTTGGTCATTCTGTCTGTGACTTTGTCTTTGTGAGTGTCTGTTGGCTCCAGTTGAGGGCACAGACGCACCCAGAATTCCAGGACCCCAATTATCTCGCCCTCTGACCCTGTGCAATAAAAAGGTGGTAACTAATAGAGTGGAAGAGCAAGTGTGTTTTGAAAGCAGAACTGATTGTGGCAGTAAAGGTCCAACAAAATTAGAAGTTCCTGTTGTACTCCTGCACTGTACAATTTAGTGTCTTCCCTGCTCTAACCCACCCACACTTATCTCATCAGCTAATTATCAAGACTTTCAATATTTGAATCATATGTGTTAGAGCAGAAATATCATAGAACTGTGTAGAGTCAGGGTATTGTGCTGTTTTCAAGAAACCTGTTCTAGAAGAATATTCCCAAAGTCCATACTTACGGGTTTGTGTACTTGTAGGCATGTACTCTCTCCTTTATATTTCCAAGGGTGTCTCATTTCTCAAACGTACGAAAGCACAATGTGCGAGATCATGCTAAAAACATCCTTCCCCAAATACCACATTATATAAAAGTAGCAAAGGCGAGGTTTATCCCACAGTACAACAGTTGGTGACATTCTAACACGTTATTTTGGAAATGTTGAGGAAAATAAAATCACAAGAACTTCCCTGACTAGCTGTCCTACAAAGACAAGGTAATCTTCCTGGACAAAATTTTAGTCATTTTTTGTCGGGTAAACTTAAATATCCCCACATTTCACATCTCAAAATATATCATGCAAGTACGTACTTCAGCAAGAAGTGAACCACAACCACATGAACCACAAATGTGGACTTTGGGACATGCAATAAACCAATGCTGCCCCATTGTTTCTCTGACCTGTTATATTGGCTCTGCCTTTTATTTGTTCTCCTCTGCGCTGTAGCACCCCCATCAGGGGAATCCTTGCTCTGCCCCTGGTTATGAATTGCACCCCTCCCAGTGCCTGATGTAATTCAGCATGAACACACGTTCCCTGACCACCGAGCTTGGTGAGATCACGCCCAGCAAGGCCATAGCAGGATGTAAAGCCATAATTTGGCTGTGCCCCTGAAACCAGTGGGGTTGAGTGCATCTCAAAATCTAGGAATGAATAGGTGCAAAATGTCATAACCTCATGGTGACCCCCAGAGTCCATTCCTCTGTCCTTTGTCATGACCCTCAGTCCCACAGGGGTGAAAGTGGCTCCTAAAAGATGGATTTCAAGCAGGGATTCTCCCTCCTGCAGTCGGGAGAAGATGGTGTTCTCCTCCATTGGCTGGATTAACTCCTGATCCACCCCCGTCCACGTGTACTGATGTGGTATTATCCGACTGTAGTTTCTAGGACCATAGGTGAAGTCTTTTAGCTGAGCTAACATAAAAGAGAAGCACCACTGTCATTAAAGTAAAAAACTGACTGAGATTGTAAGTCTACACTGCCAGCATATTTTATGATCATCTCAAAATGCAGAAGCATGACAGTTTATTTGATACACCAACGTTGTACTTACATTCATTGGCCATTTAATCAGGTACACTTACCCCAGTTCCCCACCCCTGCTGCAGACCTTCTATAGCTGTGAAGAATTTGTCATACACCTACCTAGTCCAATGCTGCCAACTTACATGCCACTATAGTGTTAGTGTCAGTGCTGTATACCTCTCAAATAATATCAGCAGTGGTCACATAGTGTCTTTCCACCAATGGACAGGGTAGAACGGGACTGAGAAAATGTGCTTAGCAAAAGATGGGCTACAGTCAGTAACTGTATAATTACAAAGTGCATGCGTGCAGCAGGTGTACCTGATAAACTGGCAACTCAATGTGTATAATTCCCATAGCTCTCACCTTGTAAGCTGTTGATCTGAAGAGCCCTGCTTTTCAGCAGTTTGTCTTTTTCAGTGAACCGCTTTCTGTTCTCCTCTCTTTCTCTTGCAGCTCTCTCCACCTCTATCTTCAACTCAGCCTAATAAAGTGCAGCAATCACTTTCATCAGTGTTATAAATGTTGCTTTTCCAAGATAACAGAATCATTTCCTTGATAAATATAATTTCCTTGATATTTAAGAACATAATTAACTCGAGATATGACAAAATGTTTTTTTTTTATTGTCATTGTTGTCTTTGTAGTAAATAGGTCTAATATTTTTTTATAAACATTGATAGAAAGCATTTAGGCCCGGATCATCAAGTTATGGGCCCCTGGGCACAAATGTTTGGTGGCCCTCTACCTGGCTACCTTTTTTGGGTGGTCAGTGATTTTGTTATGATGTCGCAGCAAGATAAGGAAAAGCCTATTCAACACCACAATGGCAACATTCTTTTTTTCCAATCATGACAAAACAGTAGCAAGATTTCACACACATTAATGAGAACACTGGTTAACATAAACCCAACAACCAGTGCAACATTGTCCTATAAAGTATACATCCATTCTTGACAAGCAAAACATTAACCCCAACGAAGACAACGTAAATTACAATCAGACAGTTAAAATGTGCATAAAGATGGAAAAAGCAGCTACAGTAAACTGCTGTGGAAATTTTTCCATTCTTCCCATTTATATCTCACCTCTGATGATGCAGATCACTGCTTACAAGGACAAATCAACTTTTTAACTGTAGTGGTTGACATTTTATATTTGGCTTTGGAGACCTCTACTCTGTCGAGTCTCGCTCTTACAGATCTCTCATCCAAAGGAAAAAAAAATCTTTCTTAAGATTGTCTCAGATAAATAAAGCAGATCTCAATAATGTAATAATGAAGGATCACTGATCTCTGAATTGTTTCTCCTAAACCCCCCTTATGAGAAAAGAGGAGGTTAACCTCAGCATTTCACTGTAAGAAGTTCTGGTGATGAATTAGAAAAGCACGAGTTCTCCTTCTACACTCACAGACTGCTGAAAGAGTTCTGTAATATAAAATAAAGCTGTATAAGAAAACGTTGCGATCTTACACTTTTCTTATAGAAATATTATTTAGCTAATACTGGGGTGAGATGATTTAGACACTAAATAGTTATGTGTGACAACATTTTGATCAAAGGTTTATTTCTCAGGAGCCAAATTTCAGAAACAGGAGAAAAAGTCTCACTCCATATAGCTATATATTACACAATGGCCCTGCGATAGACTGGTGACCTGTCCAAGGTGTATATTGCCTTGATCAATGACCGCTGGGATAGGCTCCAGCACCCCACCGTGACCCAGAAGGATAAGCAGTTTAGAAAATGTGTGTGTGTGTGTGTGTGTGTGTTACATAATGGTACAGCCAAAACTGGCTCTGGTACAGCATGTTAGCTTGGGCCTAGGGTGTTTGCTCTGGGCTAACGCATTGTCTTGTAACAGCAGTCCACTCATCTGCACACACTGGTTCAGAGGAGGGTTCATTGTCAGGAGTGATTCAGGATGAGGTGGTGGGTCAGGTCGTCTGGGCTGGGCCCGAACCACTGTGCATTCCTCCCTGTAGCAGAAACTGTATACAATGTAGTGTGAGCATTACACAACCTCCCCACAAAGGTGTTCTAATGGTTGAAGCCCCTGACTCACTTACTTCCTCAAGGCCTTTTGCTGCAGCCCATGGTAGTTCCTGCCATAATTGTCGTCAAATTTAAGATTATCTTTGAGAGTGAGTCTCTAAAGGCGGTGCTCGTACCAGCAGGAACTGTAGTGGGGCAGTTATATCCCGCCGATACTGCTACTCCAGCCTTAACAATGACCACCTCTGCTAAATCGACCCTGAGCGTTTCACCTATTTGAGAGTACTGGAAGAGGAGGAACTTTCCCCATACTAGCCTTTGCAGACTCCGACAAGCCTTTCATTTTGCATGTTGATGCAAGCTTGAGTGGTCTTGGAGTGGTGCTGAATCAAGAACATCCCAAGGGTTTATGACGCGTTTCCTTTGCCAGCCAGGGTTTAAGCAATGCAGAGATAATTTACCACATTCACCAGCTAGAGTGTTTAGCTTTGAAATGGGTGGTAGTGGATAAGTTCCACAATTATTTGTATGGCGGCAGGTTTATCGTGAGAACCGATAACAACCCTCTCATGTATGTATTGACCATGGCGAAGTTGAATGCTACTTGACATTAAGTACTGCCCCGGAAAGACTAACATAAATGTTGAATTGCTCTATGGACATGCACCTGGAAGTGGTAACACTGAAGATTGTGAGGGCATATCTCTTCCTGCAGTAAATTTGGCCCTCAGAACTGTTGGAACAGACTCCTCAATTAGGACTGATGAAACATAAGGCAGAAAAGTTGGGCATCAGAGATGAGCTGCTGTATTGAATGAAGAAAGTGCTCTCTGGGGTGGAGATCCTCCAGGTTGTGCTGCCCCAGATGTACGGACAGAAAGTGATGGTGGCACGCCATGATGATCTGGGACACCTAGGGGTGGAAGGAACCTGTGAACACCCCAAATTGTATTGGCCAAAATGGCACAGGAGGTGTGGCGTGTGCGTGGTGCAAAAGAGATATAGTCCACAGGCAGCACCGCTCCACCAAATCACAAGCAGTGGTCCTATGAACCTTGTGTGTTTTGATTTCCTCTCATTGTAAGCTGATTCTAAGGGATTCACCAACATCTTGGTAGTCACAGATCATTTCAGCCGCTATGTGCAAGCTTTTCCACAAAGGATCAGAATCAGTGGAGTCAGTACGTCCACACCTATAACAGCTCTAAGAAACGGAATATTTCAAATGTTCGGCAGAAAGGTTGTTTCCTGTTTTGGATTCCTGTTTTGGTAACTCGTTGAAGAGTGATGGTGAAGTCAAACAGCTGACAAAACCCATCAAAGGAACAAAAAGCTTTATGACAGGTTGGTTTGCTTCCAGGCCCTTGACCGTGGCAAATGAGTTCTTGGGACTAAAAGGGTGGCATAAATTACAAGGTTTTTGGAGCTCTGTGCCATATGTTGGAATCGGGAAGATGCTTAATCTCCCCGTTTATTAAATGAAACCTGAGAAAGGCATGGGAAATGAGACCACCTCTTGCCCATAGAACAGCTAGTGAGGCTACCACATGCTGCAAATGATGAGCCCTTGCAAAGTGAGACAGGGATACAGAAAACCCATGGGCCTGGTGCACCCAGGACAGTTAATAAGCAGGCAAAGAAAAATCCAGAAATGTTTTATTCCACCAGTGATTCTGAGAGCGATGAGGATTGTGAAGTCCATTGCACCTTAGACATGGATGGACTGTTTACCAAGAATGAAGACGTTATTACTGGCCAGAGATATCACATGACCATGATACTCAGGGGGGTGACTCTAAACAAGACCAGGTGCCTGTGGGTGACCGAGAGCTCAACGGCAACATAGTGATAGAATCTGAAATTGATTCTAAATCAGAAGGTGAAGGCAGTGATCAACCAAACAAAGACATTACTTTAATTTCTCTCTCACCCAGGCAGTAAGATTTCACTCAATCAGCCAGTGCTGATGCCTAAGAAAGCTCAGAGCAGAGTAAGAGCTTAATCAACCAAGGAATATCAGGTGAAGCTAGGAATTCTGTTCCTGGGAAGAGGCAAGTCAAACTTGTTATCCGACTTACTTATGAAGAACCTGGCCGATATATCTAAAGACCAGCCCCTGACCATAGTTTTTAGGGGATGGTTATTAAATTTGAGGAACTTAAAATCAAACATATGCTTGATGCAAACGCTTTAGTGTGAAGGATAGGTCATATGGAGACATCCTGACCTTTAGCGGGCGGAGGGTGCCACCCTGCTAAACAATGAGCGACAGGGGTTTCTTTATTTCTTTTCCCCTTTTCTTATTTGGTTTCAGTTCATGACCTAAACTCTCTGTCAGCGGCTTTGCTGGGAGAAAACGGCTGGACTAGGGGGACAAGGAGAGAGACAGAAAAAATGTATGAGAGCGAGAAAGTTCCATGTTAATTCTGCGGCCAACGGAACAACCACAGTTATCACAGTCTTGTTATCAGCCCAATATCTTGTAAATAACTGTGATACAAGGAAAGTGATGGTAAAATTTTGAAATTACTTGTACTTATAGTGGTTTAGTCAGCAAGTTCGACACTCATTGAACTGCCCACTAGCCTAGCTCAGGCTAGCAGCCAACCTCTTTGCAGTGGCTAATAGTGGACTGTTTGGTTAGCTCAACCAAGCCTTCTCCTGTCCAGCCATGCTCTAGACTTCGCTTGACACTCAGCCATAACCACTTGGTGGTTTGGGAGACCGGCAAGTCCAAACTTTCACTGGCACAGTGGGAAGCTGCACCGTTGCACCAAAAACAGAAACATGGCATCCATCAAAAAACGGCGCAGCACGTCGCATGGCCCTCTGCCGCTCACAACTGGTGTAGACATCCTCTTTAATTATAATGAAAGCATTTTGGTTTTGTTGTTTTCACTCTAATTGCTTGCTGATAGTACATGGTTAGTTAATTTTTCCCCACTGTGCCATTAGTAAAGCTCCCACTGTGAGTCAAAAAACCTGTTTAGATTTTCTCATAATTGCAATCAGGGGTCCCCTAGTGTCTTGGGCCCTGGCCACGTGCCATAAAACGAATTGGATGATCCGGGCCTGAAAGTATCAAACAATAATCTCAATAATAATCTTGAAAGATCAGAAATCTGCATGTATATTTTTATTATTTCTGTGATCTGTGCTGTACATAGACCACAGCAAAAGGATAAAACACAAATCTCACACAGGTAAACATGGCATTTCGGCTTTGATCTTAAATTGTGTCATTATCTTGAAAAAACATTGTTTGTTATGCCGTGATGATCACCTAAATTACTCAGAACTCAGGAAAACAAATAACAATTAACTTGTTATTATATGGCAATACTGAGTAATTAAAACATGTAAATTCATGGCCTTTTAGGTTTCCTTAGCTAGTATTTTGTCTATTCTTTTTGAAGGTGAGAGTGTGTTTGGCTACCTGCAGGTCGTTACTGAGTCGATGTTGCACAAGTAGTAGGTCTCGAGTTTTCTGCATCTCTAGCACTGTTTCTGCGTGTGAGACCTGCAGAGCAGCCAGCTCTCGAGAGCAATCCTCCACCTTCTCATCAGCCCCCGAAAAACACAACCACTTGTGATTCTCCTGCTGCAGCCTAAAAGCCTGAGAGAGGGAAAGAATGTAAGACAGCAATATTAAATGTAAGTAGACCTTCTAAATGGATGAAATTTCTCCAGGATAAACTTAATAGCTTAATAGCTTAACTTTTATCTGTATCAGAGTTTCACTTAGGTCTTCTACACTCATATCAAACTCCTGTGACATAAACAGAGAAGAGGCAGGCAGAAGAAAAATGAATGTTAGGTTATTGAAGAGGCAGTGGAATATTTTAATCTAAAACATAGACCACCTGAGTAATAGTGAGTCATTTTTACTTTTGTCACTCTGTCCAGTCTCTCTTGTAAAGATGTCACTTCATGTCTGTGTTGTAGCATTTCCTGCTCCATGCACACATGTTTTTCTCTGAGGGCAGTGGTCAGGGCTGTGTGATAAAACAGTTGTCATGTTTCATCAGTAGATATATGACAAAAGATATATCAATGATAATACGGTTTGGCCTATTCATGAGCTAAATACATCTCTCACATCTCTCCTGCTCTCTCTCTTCCTCAATCCTTTCATACTCTTGTTTCATCTTTTCTTTTTCTTGCTCCAGTATTTCCCTTTGTCTCTGCTCCTCTTCCAGCTTCTTCTCAAGCTTCTGCACTTCAGCTCTCCACGTTTCCTCTCTCAGTTGCTCCCTCTCTCTTTCTTTATCCTTGTGTTCTTCCTGGTGGCTCTGGGCAGACAGAGTGCTAGAGCAGAAATTAAGCAAGAACATCAATAGATAGGGATACATATGATTGTGACTGATTATGTGTTTGCAAAGCAAAGATAAGCAAAGTTAAAAATGTTGGAGTTCTGTTGGCCAATTTGAAAAAAGAGTTTGGGTGAGTTTTGACAGACATTCCACTGTAACTCACCTCTCTAGAAGAGAATCATAGCTTCTTTTCAGGAGGTTCCTCTCCACTTCAAGGTCTGAGACTCTCTCTTGTAGCTAAGATGGAGAAACAGCCACAGGTAAGAGTTTAGTTATTAAGAACCTTAACAAGATTATTCAGTGGCAAGCCATGGCTATTAGAGCTAGGTTTTCAGTTTTTAATCATAAATATTGAGTCAATATAGAGCATGACTTAATCATCTGTTATTGTGACATGTACTTGTCAAACACTGAGTGTATGGGATCACTGAAGCTTGAGAGAAACTTGAGACAAATGAGACAGAAAAAGCTTGCCTTCCTGGGTAAATGTGAGCAGGAATGTTGACCAAAATATTGATGCAAGACTAGTAATCGACTAAAACAACTGCAACATAAACATCATCAGGTATTTCATGAATTTTTGGTATTTTCATGAATTTTTCAGTTTTTGTTTCCACGGTGAGCTAGGTAAAGTCACAGAGGTATGAGTATGTGCCAGCCATGCATGTCATTATTTCATATTGTTTAATGCAAAAACTTCACTTTATACCTGATTTTTGTTCATCCAGGTACTACTGTTACAATAATGGCCATTTCTGCTATGGATGAGAATGTTAGGTGAGTAACCAAGTTAATTATTATGCACATGAACATTTTATGTTAGCTCTCACATAAACAAGGACTTTTGATGCTTGTGGCCTCTTTTCCACGACAGAGCCAAATGCTACCCAGGGCCACACTGTGCTGCTCTGCTCTGATGTGGTTTTAATGAGACCAGTTACAGTTTCTTTTTCCATGTGCTATGCTAAAAGTTATAATAGGAAATAGTAAGGGAAATTACACACAGGAGTGGCTAACAAGCTAAATGTTTGATTCCGGCTATCAGGCCAACATTCAATTTTGTGCTCTCAGAGTCTTTATTCTCTAAACAGGTGTTATTTAGCTGAGTACCAAGTACTGCAGTGGGTGGAACCTTTATCCTGCTAACTAATGTTACACTAGCATCAGCCTAGCCCAGCAGGATAAGCTCAAAACACTACAGGACAGGTTTGACGGTGGCTTTCTGTCACCATAACACAAGTCATTTGACTTTGCTATTTTAGGAATGATTTTTATCATCTACACTTGTAACAGCAGAGCAGACGGAATCAAACCTGTACAGTGGTGTTTTGGATCTGCAGGCCACTAGATAGTCTAAATAGGCTAGAAAGTGGTTAGCATCTAATTAGGAGGCTACATATCCAAACACCATGGAACAGATTTAATTTCGACTTTCTGTCCCTCCAACACCAGCCACTCTACTTTGCTCAATCAGAATGAAATCATTATCACCTAAACCTTTGTTAGTATAGCTTAGTCAGAATTGAACCTGCTCTGTGGTGAGGAGAGCTGGTAACATGATAGCTAAGCTAATGCTAACCAGCTTTAATTGTTTTTCAGCACATTGCGGTTGCACAACACTGACATAAATGCAAAACCAATCAGTACATAGAATAATCATTGCATCATCCCACCACTGTGTCACCGCTGAGCACAGTTTATAAGTGTTCCCTGATGAACCCTGTCCGTGTGAAAATGTTGCTAGAATGCCACTAGAACTCTCCATGCTCACAAACAATGGAACCCTACAGTGGAAAAGAGGACATTACCATATACTTTATTTTGTATGCTACAGTTCTACTGTGAATTCTTCAATAAAGAAATGGGGCATAGAATGGCTGCCACCATTTTTGATTTCTAATTGAGAGAAAGAAAATCATTTAGATTACAAAATATGTTGAGGTGAGGTGATGATATCTGTGTGTGTTTTGTGAAGATGGCATAAATTATATAAATGCAGTACCTCTTCAAGGCCTTGCAGTGAGAAAGTGGCAGTGCTGAGCTGAGCCTCTAGTGTCAGCACTCTCTGTTTTTCCTGTTTCAGTTCTTCATTCAACTCCTCCACCTTTCCCAGCAAGGCTCCTTGGTTCTCCCGTAGTGACTTTTGACCCTATGGGAGAACAAATGAATAATAAAAGGAAAAAACAAATAATCACAACATATTCCTAATATTATTAAATTAATGACAACTGGTAAAATATTCAATGATTTTAAAAGAGCTTAGTAGTTTAACTAGTATGAACAGCACAAATTAATCTACACATTTGCTTACACACCAGTGCCCTCTATGAACTCTCTGTTTCATATAGACTAAAATATTCATAATAGAGAAGGCAGGGATAGCAGTGGTTTCAGGGCAGAAAAACTGTAGAAGCATTACAATAATCTGCACTGAACTAAAAGTACTGTACACTGGAGGATCTGATGACTGCTATAGGGTTCCTGTTAGCGATTCCAGTTAATGCATTTGAATACCTGGAGTTACAGTCTTTCCTCAACAATAGCTTAAACAGATTATTCTCATTGATGAACCCTTGTGCTATTTGCCACTGTATCAACAGTTTCCCTCTGGCCAGAATGATAATTGGAAATATGAATTTAGATTAAACAGCTTGTTAAAACTCACCTCCTCCAGCTGGGCCTCATAAGCCTGAAAACAAACATGTGAACAAGTGGAAAAAGTTAAATGCACAATGAGTTAATTTGGGGACTCTCACGCTAAGTCATATCATGATAATGATTGACTTGAATTGATTATTTTTCATAATTTCTTTGTGATGAAATTACTAAAATACCAGATACCACACTCCTGAGCTACTGCCTGCCTACAGTATTTACAACAACAAAGAACAATTAGGCAAATTAAAAAATAACAAGAATGCAATCTGTTACAGAAAAAAAGAAAAATGCAAAATCTTTTTCCAACCACATTTATATTATCTGTCTCACCTCTTGTAGAACAGTAAACTTCTCCTGAATGACCAGAAGGGCCGTGCTCTTGTCAGAAAGTTGCTTCTGCAGTCTGATCACATCTACATTATCTTTTATGTTGAATCTGCAATCAATGGAGAGACAACAAGTTACTCAAACATGTACATGTATTTTGTTTTATTTTACATCATCATGCATTATTTGCATTTAATGTCTGATGTTTCAGTGCAAACAGTTATCTCCACCTGCGTCCATCAGCTTGCTGTCTGCGGAGCTCTTTCATTGTATCCTCTATTTCTCTTTCCTTTCCTTTAAGGGTGTCTCTGAGGGACTGAGCACCCAGCTCAAGCTCTGTTACCCTCCTCTGCTGCGTTTCTATAACACTAGATCTGCTGACAAAGAGAAGAGAAGAGAAGAGAAGAGAAGAGAAGAGAGAAGAGAAGAGAAGATGATAAACAGAAAAAATCCAAAAGTTAAAGAGACAAACTAAACATATGATAAAGTTAGGCACTTCACTATGCAACTAAAAAGCATGCATGTATAGTAAAATGTAAAGCTACAATCAGTGATGGAGCAATAAGTAATTTACCAGTAACATATTAATGCCACACTGTTACTTACATAACTTAAATCTAAGATTCTCTGTTACTGAATTATCAACTAAATGGCAGTTTCAGCATTGTTTAAAAAAAAACATCGGGGCCATCTAAGGAATTCTATGACTTCTGGGAATTTGAAAATACAATTTTTAGATTTTAACTGTTTATTTCATAGAATCCTCATGGTTGTAAAACTGTGCAATTATTGTGGTAATATTCTTATTTCAATTTGTGGTTGGAAATAGCATTGTTAAAATCCTGACAAGTCCACTGAGAAATTGTCAAATCAGGATTTTATCCCTGTGGTATGTATGGAGATACAGCCAATCTAACTCTGTTGTACCTACTGTTGTTCAGGACTTCAGGAGCTGGACAGAAGGCCTTACGTGTCTGATTACAGGGTTCCAATGAATACTTAATAAGTGTGTACATTTAAAATATAAAGTTATAACACCTCTGAAAATGTCTTATTTTTACCCTTAAATTCTAAGTTGTTGCCTGAAGAGTGGGTTTAAAAGGGTCATTGAGTATAAGCTAATTCAGAATAGATAAATCACTAAAAATATCCAGTCAACAGTGGTCCTGTGGTCATAAACTGACCACTGATGATGGGCAGGAAAACACTGGAACTGATGAAGTCAAACACACTGAAAGACTATGTAAGGACCTCAAAGCATATATTCATTTTCGATTTTTCATCTGTTTGAATAAAATAGTAATATATGTAAAAATGTAATATATGTTATTTTTGTTTATGTGCATAGTTTTGCTCTGGAAATTGTATTATTTTCTTTTTTGCTGTGGGTTGTTGGTTTTTCCTTTCCTTTTTTAGTATTGAACAGCACTGAATTTGACTTTAAAATTGTACGGCACTTGGATTGGATTGCTGGATTAACCACAAATATAATAATAAGGTAGTGACAGTAGAATCAACCAGTCATGTTTTAATTTACCATAGGTGGGACCAAAAGCCATCACTCTAGGCATACTGGAAGACAGAGATATTTCACTGACTATGAATAGGAGCAACCATTAGGTTTTTGTCAGCTGTTAGAAATTGAAAGTGCCGCTGTCACGCATCCGTCGAGCTCCAAGACAAACCTAGACTCCATCTTCCAGAATCCTCTGGGAGATCACATGACTCTTGAGCTTCCCTCACACACTGAGTCTCACTCAGACTCCATCTCCCAGAATCCTCTGGGGGATCACATGACACCTGACCTTTCCTTGCGCTCCTCTCAGCGCTCTAGATCTCTGGAATACTGATTCTGTTCACCTGTGCCTCATGTCATATGGCCTCCTTAGTTTAGTTTATAAGCCCGGGCTTTAGCCATAGCCAGTTGTGAGGTATTGTATCATTTGTGATCTACTGAGTGTTCTACTATTTGCCTGTATACTGTTTATGACCATCGCTTTCTGTTTTTCGACTCTGCCTTTTGCCTTACCCCTTTGTACTGTTTGCCTTTCTTGTTTGACTCCTGTTTTTGATCTTTTTGCCTGTTTTCCTCGACACTGCCATTTTGCTTTACCACAGTGCCTTAGCACTGTAACGTAGTATTAGAAATACGCCTTTAGCAGAAATTAGCATTATCATAAAGGTTTTTTTTCATTATTTATTTACCAAATGTTGACATTTTTGGCCTGCACTGAAGGCCTAGCTCTAATAGTTATGGTTTCAATATATTTATATTTCAAAAGAATATTAAAATATAATATATAAATAGTTTTTTCAGGGAATTTCAGGAAAAATGTGAGCACGTGTAATGCCCACATATTGTTGCTGTTGGGATAAAATCTCAAAAAAAGTAACTTTAGAGGAGAAGGAAAAAACAACTTTACTTTGAAAGGGAGTTAATGGAACCATTTTGGAGCATTTCTACTGGCCCATTCATCATTAAATTCTAACACAATGTAAAGAGCAGCTGGTATTTTTAAATTATCTCAAAAATGAAAAACAGTAAATATGGATATACAAAGTTTTTTCCTGACTGTGACTAAGATTTGTCCTGGACCTTGTGTGTAAGGTCCACGTGCCTGAATAACATTAATGACTTCAGGAACTAAATGATACTGCCATTTGCTAATTAGTAATTAAATGTTCTGCCTCAGTGAAGAGCAGTGAAAGGCAGAGGGTTTGCATAAACTATGCAAGTGCAGCTGCCCACAAACCTGAGTAGTGCACGTCTGTGCACACAGAGAAGGATAATAGGAAGATAATAGGAGTGAGTGAGAGAGAGAGAGAGATTTGGTGGGTGAGAAAAAGTTACTCTACATGTAAAGACTCTCTGTCATCCGTGCCTGCTCATTAGTAAATATGTGACACCCGTATATGCAAACTTACAATCTCTCAATCTCTTCTCTGGTGTCCTCCAGAGAGCTATGTGCATAGCGGGCAGGGGCTGTTTGGGCCGCCCGTCTGATCTCTCTATCTCCCTCCACGCCCCGCACTAAAAGACAAGGAGAAAAGAAAAGCTGAACTCTATCCCCATGAAACATTCTGATTCTGTTTTACTTTCTTTTGCTTCACAGAGTTGTTTTTAGTTGTGAAGGTGTTCTCAGAAGCTACAGAGATGACAAGTAAATGAGCATGCACATAGCACACAACAAATAAGTGACCATATCAATGGGGAAGTTTTTAAACTTGGAATGGAATGTCTATCCAAAACACTATGAATAGAATTCTGTTCTTATTCCTATAGAGCACTGTGCAAATGTGCAAAAGTCTTAGGCACCTAAAAAAATTTGAATTAAAAAACTTATATAGACAGTATATGACAACACATATCTTAGAATAAATATAACATGAATACAATATCTTTCAATATGCCAATGTGTTCATTTAACCACTTCCAATCCTCTCTTTGTGGAAACCACGGTTTAATGGTAGCTTTCATGCAATACTTAGTTTTGCTAATCAATAGTTTATGTATTAATGTACTGCTGTTGGAATTTTTGGATTTTTATGGCTGTGGATGTCCAGGAGAAATTTGGAACCAAACTTTGTTCTTCAAACTAGCTCGTAATATATCAACTTTCTTAATATTATTGTTACTGTTTATTATATTTATGCTTATTTCCATACATTCTAATGATAGCGTTTTTACAGTGTTTTTAAATAATGAGCACAGTACTGTATATAATGGTGTTTTCATATTTAATTCCCAATTCCCATATATACACAGAGTTGCCAGTTTATAAGGTACATCTACCCTGTACCTATACTTAATGACCATTTTATTAGGTACTACCATATAGATGCATTTTATAGGTATGTAAACTAAATTTTTTATAGGTATGTAAACCCTGTCTGTTGCTGCACAAATATATCAAGTCCACCAATGGAAAGGTCCACCATAGAATCGCCGCTGACAAGGTCTTATCCGTCCATCCTCCGTAGGCTCAGACATGTATGGCTGTAAAAATCCAATAAAGCTGCTAGACGGAACAGAAAGAAAGTTAGAGAGGGATCCCTTTTAAGGTAGTCCACCTGCCCAAGTATTATTACATGCATGAAACTTATACAGGTAATACATATCACTCCCAAATATGTTGAAGGGATATAGTTTATCTCCCGTAATCAAATTTTAATCTTTTTAACGTAGAATATTTTGCTCAAGAACATATTTCTTTCACCTATTAATAATAGCTCTTTGGCTTTTATGTCTTTATGAGGCTTGTTCCTTAAGACGGAAACTGTGACAGTAGATAAAAACTTGTTAATGCCTCCAATCTATCCTACTAGACATGACAGCGGTCTATGGTACTGGAGATGGAACTAAGTATTTCTGTCATCATATAGCTGGGTGACGGATGACCATCTGGGAAACTTCAAGGTCTCTGGTCTGACTGAGACCCAACTCTTGCTTATGTCATTATGTGCTGGGTGCACATGAGACACACTGTCTCTTGATTGACTCTCACTAGGTGTTTCTGAACCAACCCAAGTCTGCATTTAGTCTGCAAGAGTTTTAATGATAAAGAATAATGATGAATCAGTGATTGTATGTGTAGATTATCTAATTTACATGTAATTTGCACAAAGTTATAACTGCTTTGACCAAGATGGGCGAGACACTTTTGCTCTCACCCCCACCACTTTCTCAAACTCACTCCCTCGACTCTTTTAGCCTGCTGATTTTCTATAAGCTTTTTTTAAGTTAAGTATTTAAGTTCATGTTTGTGTGAACATGATAACCTGTTAAGATTATTTTTCTCTATTTTTGTCATTTTTTTTAAAATTATGTTTTCTTATAGTGCAATAGTGCAATATTAGTGCATATGGCATGGGTGACTCACACATCTGAAAAGGTATCATTATTGCTGAACAAAATATACAGGTTTCTGAGCAACATATGCTGCCATCCAGACAACATCTTTGGTTCAGGGAAGGTCTTGCTTATTTCAGCAAGACAATTGTGAACCACATTCTGCATATACACCGATCAGGCATAACATTATGACCACCTCTTTGTTTCTACGCTCATTGTCCATTTTATCAGCTCCACTTACTATATAGGTGCACTTTGTAGTTCTACAGTTACAAACTGTAGTCCATCTGTTTCTCTGCATACTTTGTTAGCCCCTTTTTACCCTGTTCTTCAGTGGTCAAGACGTCCATGGACCCTCACAGAGCAGGTACTATTTGGGTGGTGGATCATTCTCATCACTGCAGTAACACGGATGTGGTGGTGGTGTGTTAGTGTGTGTTGTGCTGGTATGAGTGGATTAGACATAGTAGTGCAGTGTATACAGATTTATAATGGATTGCATTTCCTGAGAGTTTTTCTTTTCAAGTCACTGCCTTTGTTGCGAGATTTGTATCAAGATATTTCAGTGCATTTTCTGGCAGGTGGATTACCTTAAAATAGTGCAAAGTCTAAAGAACTTAAATTGATGAGAAACGCAACATGAGTATGTGACATTCATATGTACATTATACAACAAGCAAGCAGTGGTGTATGTAGGCTACACCTGTTGGTAACTGCTGCTCCAGTAAAGTGGACCAGATAAGCTAACTTATGGAGCTAAATTTGAGCTAAAAGTTTGAAATAAAATAAGAAAATCCACAAGCAAGATGCTAAGTATCAGTATGTTCAAAATATATTGCAAATAAAACTAAAACCTGAAAATAATTTTTCAAAAATAAAAGATTACTACTAATTTTCACTCACTTCGATGTAAATGTTTTACTCATTGTTTTTCAGTCTTTGCTTTATTTTGAACAAAATTATGTATATATATACATATATATATATATATATATATATATATATACATATATATATATATACTAGATAAGCTAATATATATATATATATATGTGTGTGTGTATAGAGAGAGAGAGAGAGAGGCATTGTTTTTCACAGAGAATGTCTCCTCTGCTCTGCTACTCTTACCAGTGCGTGGTCGGTGGTGAGATCGTCCAGTCAGACCCAGGATTTGCTGTCTGGCCACGCAAAGTTTGCTTTGCAGTGCCTCCTTCTGGCTCTCTAGAGTGGCCACACGAGCTTCCAGTTCCTGAATGGTGTCTTCTGTGTCAGCTTCTCGTCCCCCAGCTGAGCCTGGATGCCCATATCTCAACCTTAACACCTTAGTTGACAGCCTTAGAGACAGAAATGGAGAGAACGCTGGGTCCTTTTTTTCATTTTTTGAATTTCAACCACTTAAAAGTCCCAGCTGCCTCTTTATATTGTGTGGACATTTCATGATGAATGGGCCAATAGAAATGTACTAAAAGTATAGGAATAGTGCTTGTTTTCTTAACATGAATTAAATGTTAAGAATGTTTTTTCATATGTGATTTGTGGTTTAATACACACTTTTTTGCATGTGTGTTTGTATTTTACCTGCGTAGTTTCTTCTCTTGTACACGAGTGTGTTGTTTGAGAAGTGTGTTTTCTTCCTGCAGACGAAGACACTGATCCTCAAGCTGTTCCCTCGGGACCTTGAACACACGCTGACGATCTGAGAGAGACACACACACAGAGCAGGTGAGACACGCAAACAGATCAATGCACTTATTCAAAATAACATCTGAAGTGCAAGATCCTATGCAATGAGACAGTGGACATCTTTCTGTGAAGTCTAGTTCCAACCTCAATCTGCCAACCGTGCTCCAGCTAATTTTTTGCCAGATGTTTGCAATAAAGTAATAAAATTTACAAGCAAAATGTTCAAAATATGTTGCAAATACAAATAATTACACTTGAATCAAACTTATTTTATCAGAAAGATTACTATTCATTTTCACTCAATTTGGAATGAATATATTACTTATTATTTGCTTTATTTTTTTTCTATTTGCCAATTTTGTTGTTGCATTTTTTGCTTCTGACTTTTGGCACATTTTTACGTGGCAGGTGGTTCATCAGAGGGCACCCATGGGCGAGGCCTAAATTAAAGGGGGTGAAAAGAGCTAAACAGCTAAAAACAAAAATACAAACAAATAGTTTCTAACCATTTGTCCTTACTTTAATTTTGGAAAGTAGGCTGTATTTCACTAAAAAGTGAAAAAAAAAACATTCCTGTATAGTTTCTTTTTTCTACAGCAAATGGGTTTTGGGCAGTAGCAGCAAGCAGCTCAGCTAGTGCTGACTGACTGGTAAGCGCTTCATTCACTGGCAAACTGCTTTATTCAAAACATTGTTGTTTTATCAATGTTTTTTGCTGTCTTGTTTTCAGGAAATGAATGCACTGTTCTCTATAAAAAAATGTTTAGGTATTTACTGTAAAAACTATGATTTTGCTCAAATGCTTCACATTACGCCATTCATTTTGAACTCACTCAGAAACGACCTCTAGCCTTTGAGAAATCTAGAGGATTTTACTGAATGCCAATTCTTCTCTTTACACATCCTCTAGCTGTACTACCTTTAAGGTTTGCAGATGCTTGTGCAAACTAGCCCAGCGCTGTCGCCTCACAGCAAGAAGGGCCTGGGTTCGATTCCCCTGGCGGGGTGAGCAGGGTCCTTTCTGTGTGGAGTTTGCATGTTCTCCCCGTGTCTGCGTGGGTTTCCTCCCACAGTCCAAAGACATGCAGTCAGGCCAACTGGTCAGGGGCTAAATTGCCCCTAGGTGTGAGTGTGGGTGTAAATGTATATGTCTGTCTGTCTGCCCTGCAATGGACTGGTGACCTGTCTAGGGTGTATACTGCCTTCCACCCAATGACTGCTGGGATAGGCTTCAGTTCCCCCGCGACCCAGAAGGATAAGTGGCTTAGAAAGTGTGCATGTGTGTGTATTTGTATTTGCAAAATATTTTGAACACTTTGATACTTAACATTTTACTTATGAATTTTATTATTTTATTTGAAACATTTGGCACAAAAGTAATAGTTTCAACTATTCTTTGCCTTACAAACACCTGATCCATCCTTCATGAGCTAGATTAGGTGTGTTGGGGCAGGAAATAATCGAATCTGTAGGGCTGTAGGGCTGTTAGCAATGGCATAAACACAGTAATGAGTGGAAAATGCCACTGATTGCTATGGCTATGGCTTACTGCCATAAGATAGTTGATAGACAGTCTCATTATATTACTACAGAATATATTTTGGAATAAATTTGACATGTCATCGTTGGCCATTACATTCTGGGGGTAAAGGCTGTTATGTTGGCCATGTCCGCTTTTCTTGTTTTAATCCACAGTCCCATGTCAATCAGTGAAACTGGCTTTCTATTTTAGCACACCAGTTTCTAGAATGCTGCTGTTCCAAATCAGTGTCTTCATTGTAAAACAAATAAACATTAGATAATTTAAATAATTTAGCTCCATTATCAGTGTGGCCTGCCTGCAGTTAGCCCTAGATGACACTGCTAGGCTCATTAGCAGTTGCAAACCTGAAGCAAGTACAGCTTTGTTCAAAAACTTTTGTTCAAAGTTTATGTTCTTCAATGTACAAATTAACAGTTAGATAATTTTACACAGGACAACACAGGATTCTAAGCATGTGTTACATTGACAACTTAAGAAGAAGATAAACATTTCTCACAGCGTCAGATATGCTAGTGCAGTGCTTCAGCACAGCACAATGTGCCATGTTGGGGACACTTTACAGCTCATGAAGTGGGAGTGACTACATGTTTAGAAGACCTGTTACTCCAAATAAGTTAACCATTAAAGAGTGCAGATGAACACCTTCAAGACTGGCAAGACTGGCAAAAATGAGTAATACATTTATTTCAAAAACAGTAAAAATGTTTAGTACTCTTTTCAAAAAATTAAGTTTAAGTCTCATTACTTTTTAAACATATTTTGGACATTTTGATATTTAACTTTTTCATTTAACATATTTAAACATAACATACTTAAAATATTATTTTTGTTTTGTTAGTTAATTTCAAACTTTATGCACAAAATTAACTCCATACAGAAGTCCCTGAATTGCTGGATCAGATGAATTAATCTTAGTTAGGGGTGGGGGGGCAGTTTGTTAGATACAGGTTAGAACTAAACTGTGTAAGAAAGAACATCTCCAGGAGGAGGCTTGTTGATCATGGCAATAAGATATTTCATTACCCATGTTTCCTGGAATGTAATTTACCCCTGAAGTGCACCCAGATGCATGCCTCACCTTTAATTTTCAGCACTTGCGGTGCTCTTTTCCAGGACCTCATGTCTTGTTCTGAGTGTTGGACAAAGATAACACACACAGTGTAAAAGCACAATGCAAATGCATCTATGAACATCTGGACACACACAGTGAAGGGAAACAAGTAAACAAGTCTTCAGACATTTTGCACGCATAATGTCATTTGACTTTGTTTGTATTCATAAGAAAAAAAAAAGTATTTAGACTCTAAATTAAAAAATAAATTCCAGATGTTGATGCTGCAAGACAAAAAATTTCTCATCCCAATTGCACCTCATGTCATTACAAAAGATGCTGCTGCTGGTTGGGAAGACTTGACGCAACAAGTAGCAGTCATGGTAAAGTTGAAGGAGCTTCCTAACGTTCTTAAGGATAAAATTATCAAACACCTAAATAGAAAAAGGAACAGACCCATAACAAAGACATCAAACATCCCTGTCAGTATAGTTGGTTTTATAAAATGCAAGTGAAAAGTTCATGGAACAACAACTATTCATCCCTGGACAGGTAAGCAATGCAAGACTTCACAATGCTCTCCTTACACACTGACAAGGAAGGTGAGACAGAAGTCAGCAGCCACTTGAAAAGAGTTGCAGGATGACCTGAAGCAGCAGGAACAACAGTTACAGAACAATAAGCAATAAACTACACTGCAGTCATCTCGGTTCTTATGCCCAGGCCCTTTTTTTTTTGGGTGGCTGACATTTTATATTTATATTTACATTTAGTTTTGGAAATGGGCATACCTCACAACTAAAAAATTGAAAGCTTGACTGAGGTAGTGGTGGATAGTGGAACTAAGCAGTGATTGGAGGAAAAAATTAAGAGGACAATGAAGTTATGCTGCGTTCAGATACTCATCGGAATATATATATTCCAGATGGTCAACTAGTCACTAAAACTTCAGCAGGCCCAGACTGGGCATTGGGAGAAACGGGAGATTTCCCGGTGGCCTGGCCTGCCAGCTGGCCTGGACGGCCTAGCAAGATGATGTTACAACGTATGATGAACTAAATAACAGAGTACAGCTTCTGAACACACACTGTCTCTGCAGTCCTGTTTCATGAATCACATCTTTCTGCTGCGATGTAGCTTGTAAAAAACGCTCATTACCCACTAGCTATGCAATAAAGCAGAGGTTGGCAACGTTAAGAAGAGCCATTTTGTCCTTTCAACAAAAATCAACACTAGGAGTTGGATCTCTGCGTGCAGGGTGACAGCCGGAAGTGGCAACTCTTGTGGCAGCAGGAAACAGCCACTGCATGGCCACTTTGCGATCACTTTTATTAGCGGCCGCCACCAAGCAGTCACTTCGCGGCCACTTCACCGCCACTTTTATTAGCGATTGCCACTGAGCAGCCACTTCACCGCCACTTCACCACCACTTTTATCAATGACCGCCACTGCACCACCACTTTGCCAGCAGTGTTATTAGCAGCCAGCTCTGCACCTGACACAATTATTAGCCACTTCTCCTGGGGCATATTTCATGTAGCTGTCACATCATCTGCACAGCTATGGTGAGAAGTCACATGAGCCACCACTATCTAAAGGGATTTGCCATGGGCTATAGGTTTGTGGTGCATAGTGTTTGGGGATTTTATATTCCTTAATAAGTTGCATCCTATAAGCATTGCAGGCTATAACCTTTTACAAAGTAAATAGTAACCCATTACACATGAATTTATCTAGCCTCACTAAAACGCTGTGTAGTTATGTTAGCCGTGTTATTTTGGTTTTGTACAGAGAATATTTAGCGATGTGGCTATTTAAATTTACTTCGTTCTGTGATGGTTGCTTGGTTGATGGGAGGAAACTTAATTTTTTTTTCCTTTTTCCATCCTTTCATTTGACTCATCAGTGAATTATCCAGCACTATATTATTTTAATTTTTGAAGTGCTTCTGCTTTTTTCAAGTGCATTTGTTCTGTCCTGTTCACAGAACTGCTCTGCCACCTGAGAAGTGTGGTGTGGGGGGACCAAAGTCAGAAGCCCCATTCTCAAAAGGGTGAGACTGAGAATGAAGTGAGAGATTTAAAGGCATGAAAAATACACCATACCTGTAAAAAGACAACGTAAAGAAATGTTGAATTTGCATTGTAGTTCTTAAACATTAAATATTAAATGAAATAGTAAATGTTAAGTATATACAATTGTATTGAGTAATTGACAATAAATCAAGATATAAGCAAGAAGAAAAGTAAAAAAAATAAATAAGTAAAAAGTAGTCATAGATAGAATAAACATAATATAATTTGTTTTTTATTTAATTGACACTAACAAACATAATTTAATACAAGTGTTAAATACTTTGTAAACATTATTTATGTCTTAATAATGTTGATGTTCATTGTTTATTAATGTTAATAAATGTAATAATTAATTTCACCAAAGCATTACCAAAACAATTACAGCAAAAAGAAGCAAAATAAGAAAGAAAGTAGGAAAGGAAATACAAAAACTCTTAATTTATAAGACAGGGACCACAAGCATCTAGAAGATGAAATGTTCATTACACAATTAAACATTTAATCTTGTAATTTCTACAATAAAACCGAACTGCTTTCCCTATTATTTCCATACACGTTTTAAGTTAGCCCTTTATTATTATTTAAATACAACATACCCATTGATTTGCAATAAGCCTACAAAACAGAATATCAATACAATGTTTAATTATCTTTGCCTGTCAAGTGTGGTCTAGTTCAGCATACCTTAAATAGTGTGCAAGTAGTGTTAAACAGAAGCAGACATCAGCCTATCAGGGTGTTACAGCAATATTAAGATTAGTCTCCCATAAGGAGAAAATATACAAATTTCAAATGTATTTATGAAATATATTTTTTGAAATATATGAAAATGGCAAAAAATGTACTTCCTAAATATATATTTAAAATGCATTTATTAGGGGTCCAAGCACCTTTAGGTGCATGGAACTCTATTGCTTTTGCTAGGATTTTTTTTTCTTCTTCTTCTTCTCCTTATTCTTTTTCTGCCCTAAAACGGTTTGTGGAGAAGACACTGTAAGTCATCCAAAGACCAAACTTAGAGGGTAGATGTAGATTCCCCCCACTACTCAGGCAACTGAAATGACCCCAGTTGGCCTGATGGTGGCGCTATAGAGCTTCATTTTACATTTTTGCCCATATTTCCTGAACCATGGGGGCTACACTCAAAATTCTTGCTTCTGCATAATCCTTGCTTTATTCTACATCAACGCCCTACTGCATGTTTTTAGCTCTGCCCCCATATTTTCCATCGTAATTGGCAAAATATGTGACCTCTACATTTTTCTACTAGTCTGAGGTTTTTCAAGATATCAACACAATATTGGTCTCAAAATGTTCATGGGAGGCTGGAGTTCAAGAATTATCAAAAAAAATGAATATTTATAAACAGTATGGCTGCCACGTACCAATTAAGACCCTATGGGTTTGGCTTAATTCACATAAATGGCTAAAGATCGAGATTGCTTTGGCCAATTCTCATCAAACTTATCAGTCCTGTACCCCACATGATTCTGTGGAAGCCCACCAAGGTTGATACAGATTCCTCAATAGGGTGTGCTATAACAGCCAAAAATCTGTTTCTCAGCAACCGCTTGGCCAATTGAGCTGAAACTTTGCATGCTGTATCCATGGCCTAATATTTACATGGTTTATTAAGGACAACTGAATCATTGGACAAATATGGCCGCCACTGGCCAATAAGCTTTCAACTGGCATTTGGAGGGCTTAGCATTGGCCAATCATCAAAAAAATTACATCCTATGTCCACACAGGCAAGCTCTACTAGCCTATAAAGTTTGACCTCAATTGGCCATGAGGTGGCGCTATAGAGCATAAACAAGAATAAGTCCTATAAATTGTATCATATATCAAAATAAATCAATACATATCATTGCTTACACTGAGCATGACATTTTATCCAATACAAGTCTTTTAAAATTCTGTAAAGTTTTTCTTTGATTGATCAATGTTTGACAATTGAGCTTTTCAAACTAGTCTGTGGATTTTAAGACAATTGTTTCAATTTTGGGCTTAAAACAATCTGTGGAGTCCGTAGGTAAATAATTATCAAAAAAACCCTGACTTTATTGCAAAGAACAGCCATGAGACACCAATGAATCTTTCGGCCTGGCCTTTTTTGACTTAGGGGGCTATAGATTCTTTAGGTTTTAGGTGATTGTGATAAATCTTGGTAAACTTGTACACTACTGTTTTCTGATGAAACTTGCAAAGTTTCATTTAAATTGATTATCATAAGCCCCTACAATACTTAATCTAGTGTGTAATTAATAAAATGTCCTTATATTCTTCTATGAATGAAATAAAGAAAAGATAATGGGTTTAAATTACACATCTTATTAACATCTAAAACATTGCAATTATATGTCTGTTCCAAAATTGCACAGGAAATGTGGAAATTTGAGTAAAGCCAGGATGGCCACATAATTAATAAAGGTAATATCTTTTCTGCCCAGCAGAGGGAGCATCAGCATTAAATGCAAATTATGACTTCAAACATACTTATGGTCATAGTCTTTGCATCATCTATCTTGTGGCAAAGGAACTTTCTGAATTTTATGTATTCCACTGAGCCAAGCAATTTTGCTTATACAAGTCTTTTAAAAAACTCTGTTGTTTTTCTGTAAATCATCGGAGTTTGAAAGCTGATGTTTTCATACTGCTTGCTGAAATGTTTTTGCATCGTCTCAAACTTGGTCTCAAAACAACCGTCGAAGTCTAAGGATCAATAATTATTTAAAAAACCTTGGCTTTTAAACACAATGTTATTGCAAGTTATGGATCAATCAGTGCGGTCCAGCCTATTCGGAAACAAGGGACCACAAATCTATCACTTATGCTCCGATTGTGACTAAAATTGATATATACATTGAAAATTATCAGTTGAGGAAACCTATGACATTTGGTTTGAATTGGCTTAAGCTGGCTCTTACAATGCTCAATGTACTGCCAAAAATCTAAAATGTAATTATTCCTAAGATTAAAATAAAGACATGATTATT